TTGTTCAAGAACAACAAGAAAAAATTGATAAACAATTTGTCCAAAAATTAGAGAAGAAAAATAGAATAATTAAAGAATTAACTCGTTACAATGAAGAACTAACTCGTTACAGTGAAGAAATAACTCGTTACAATGAAGAACTAATTGAATACAATGAAGTACTAAATTATCACAATAACTATCAAAGAATCGCTATCAAAGATTTGAATTTGATGCTTAAACACTAGACATGAGGCTTCGTTGGCTGAGGTTGAAGAAGGATTGAATCTGCTTTGATATCCACAATATTGGTATGAAATTGTGTCACATTTTTTATATTTATTGGATTGATTTAAATTCAGTCGTATAAGTAGCTTACACTTAACCTATTAGGAAATATTGAAGCTTGAGGCAAACTTTGGAAAGTTCTTATTCGTACCACCTTCCTCTATATCGTTAAACAAAGTGAATACGTGTAATCGTTGATACTTTACGTCCAAAAGGGCAGAGTCTGAAATCTCTGTTATTCATTTCACTACCAGTCTCATCTAAAGATTAGACCCACAAGAAATTTTGATCTCCGGGTTACTTACCCGTTTACAGATCATATTATCGGATTGTTGATCGGGTTATCCGAATAGCCTATGATTCTGGGTTACCCATTTATCTAAGTGCGTTGTAGAGGGCGAGAAGAAATCCGTGATCCGAGGGTAGATCGGGACGATGGTCTCACGACTAATATTCTACAACCTACCACTAGTGGAAAGCGTCGAAAGAGGGCGTGGAAGATTCGGTCCGGGTTTATCAGGGTCAAGGCCAGTTTATATAGTCGGGGAGTTATTATGCGAAGGGATTTATTCTCAAATCTGAGATATACTCGAACTGAACTTTATTGAAGGGAAAAAAGCGTCCTTTATATAGATAATTTTACATAGAAGAATTGAAGAAATAATAACTATAAAAATAATAGAAACAATAAAACTATAAAGAAAATAATGTAAATAAAAACAATAAAGAAAATAATGTAAATAAAAACAATAAAGAAAATAATGTAAATAAAAACAATAAAGAAAATAAAAATAATAAAAATTATAAATGCAATTTAAACAATTAAAACTATAACAGTAATAAAAACCGATTAAAGAAATTTTTATCTTTTTTTTTTAATATATTTAATAATAAAGTTTAATTTTTTTTGTTAATATATCATATAAGTTTTTTTTGTTTTTTTTTTATTAAAATCGTGCATATCTGACCCAGTACTACGTCGGAAGGTAATACATCCGGATGACCAAAATTGACCTTTACAGCGTTTGTGCGAAAAATCTCGGTGCACAATAATAAATAATACGATCCCAGGATGTCGTAACAAAAGGAATAACAGACCAATTTGATTCTCTGGTTTACATTACCCCTTCATCCTCTCCTCTGCTCTTCTCTCCCCCCATAGTAAAAAAAATTTGATAAGGATTATGGATTATTTTCGAAAAAATTTTATAGTAGATAGTGTTACTGGCGGAAATATCAACCGACAAACAACAACAAAATGATCCGACTCTGTCGGTCCGGAATCAGATTTCTTGTATAACGTTAAAGAAATATCTAAGCGGTTAAGGCTCTCTCGGCTGAGGCGTACGATTTGGTCGAGTAAGATAAGTTCCTTCTTAT